ATGAACATACCATCTGCAAGATGGCATTGATTTTTATGGTGACTGGCCCCCAGAGGGTTGGGGTGGGTTGAGTCTCCTGTCATTGGGGGGGGCACCTAACTTACCTCTTCTTACTATCAGGGTTGAGTGTAGGCTCACCAGCCAGCTGAGACACCCAGCTGTCACCTCAGGCCCCGGGCACCCTACAGACCATAAACCACTTTGTGCCAGCTCTGGGCAGCAGGGACCAGAGGAACAGGCTTGGGTGGGGGTGAGCGTGGTCCAATCCTGGCCCAGCCCGCCGCTCCACCTGAGGTCCCTCTCTGTAGGGGCCTTGATTTCCCTGTGTGTGTCGCCAGGAGATTACTGTCTGCCCAGAAGTGGTCATTTGTGGAGCAATTGTTGAGGACCCTGAATTGAGAAATATCAGCTAGACTCCGCCCCCGCCTCTGGCTCCCCATGTGGCCTGATGCAAACTTCTACTTAGGAAGGCGGTGGGGCCAGGGCAGGAGAGGGAAAGGGGCTTCAGCAACGGTCCTCCACTGGTATGTGTCTAGGGGTTATGATGGAGGAGTGTTGTCCCCCCCCCCCACAAAAAAAGGCCAAATTAAGGTGGAGGACACCAAGTGGCTCTGCTGTGTGATCTCGGGCCAGTTGCTTCCCCTCTCTGAGCCTGCCTCAGAGCTGTAAAGCGGGACTTGTAGGCCCTGTTTCCCAATGCTGTGAGTACTGGGGACTCTGGTGCCCCCTTTTTGCTCACCCAAGAGGGTGGGCAGTGAGGAGCAGGCGCCCAGCACACCAGGTGCAGCCGGACCATGTTCCCAGCTCCCAGGAGGAGGGTGTCCAAAGGACCAGCCCCTCCATCTGTCCCCCAGCAGGCTGTGGCCAGTCACTCAGTGGAAGCGTCCCCACCCACGCCTTTCTGGTTTGACTGGAAAACAAGGCCCATTCCCATCTCCCATCTGACCAGGGGCCGTGGGCACAGACCTCCACCGGCTGCTTCCCAGGCCAGAGTCTCCATCTGCTCAGGTAGGGTGGGTAGGTGTGCGCATGCACACGCACAGGTGACCCGCAGCCCCGGGAGAGGAGCGCAGAGTGCCCCGGGCTGCCTACGGGAGCAGGTGCAGCCTGTGCTTCGGCTGCAGGGACAGTGGTGGACTTCGGCAGGGCCTCCTCTGCGCATCCCCAGTGATGGGCTGCTCGCTCCTCCACCTCTGGTGCGTGGCCCCCAACTCCCTCTAAGCCCAGCCTTGGTCTGGGCCTGAGCCCTGAGCGTGGGAACAGGGTGGACCCTGGCCCCACCCACGAGCTAGGAGTCAGATGGGATCTCCAGGGCAGCCTGGTTCCCCCCACCCACTCACACTTCCCGCTGGGCCTCAGCCTTCCTGCCTCTGGCCCTTTAAGGCCTGGGCAGGAAGCCCCTCCCCATTTAGGGCAATAAATGGACACGGAAAATGGCCGAGGGCCTGTTTGCTCCTGGTCAGGCCCAGAGGTCCTCACGCATAAGGGGCAAGCTGGCAGCTTCTGGGCCAGGCAGGTGGGTGGGTGGGTGCTGCTCCCTGGTCAGGACACCACATTCTTCCCATTATAACCAGGACTGAGCCAGGCGGGGGTTGGCACCAGGCAGGGCGGGGTAACCTGTCTGCACAACCTTGCGACACAGTCCTGGGCTGGAGGGGGCGGGGCCTGGCAGCCACACCTGCACACCCGCTCCTGTGGCTCCCTGTGTGACCTCGGCCCACCACCCGCCCTCTCTAGACCCAGGTCCTGCCCCCATTCCCTCTGTGCTGCTGGGGCCCCTTGGCCCCCTTCTCCAACACACATTAGTTGGGGAGGGTTCTGGATTCAGGAATAACCATCTTGAAGGAAGGTGTTGGGTGAAGCGTCTCCTGGCTTTAGCGGCTGCCTCTGGCCTGTTCATGTGAAGTGGACTCTGATCCTAGAACACTCCCAGGGAAACTGAGGCACAGAGAGGGCAAGACCTCGTTCTGGAGGCCACAGGGTTTGGTGTGGGGGTGGGATTTGAACCTGGGCTCTCCGCCATGGCAAACAGTGGGACTGTTAGGTCCACCCATTTTCTCCTCAGTGGGGGGAAGGGATGAGGGGCCCTGAACCCCTCATTAAGCTGTGCCCGGCACTCCTCCAGGAAGGTGTTGGTGGCAATTACCTGCCCCCTCCCCCCTTGCACCTCCCTCTCTCCTTCCCAGGGAGTGTGGGTGGGAGGAGGCCCGGCCTCACCCCTCACCCGTTTGGGTGACCTTGGGGAGCCTGGGGCTTCCTGTCCAAGGCCCAGAAGCGCCGCCTCCTGCCACCCTGTCCCCTCTCGCAGGCACCCACCCCCAGGCCCTTGCCCCTGCTGCCTCCTATGCCAGCAGCACTCTGCCTGGCTTCCTTCTGGGCAGCATCTATTGGGCCGGGCCACTGTCCCCTCATTCTCCCATAAGAATCCCTGAGTTGAGGGGCAGGAGCCTCAGGCCTAGAGCCTGGTGAGCTGTGTGACCTTGGCTGAGCCCCTGGTTTCACAAAGTTCAGAGCTATGGGCTGAGTATTTTCGGGGTACCCAGATAGCCCTCACCCCATGTTCTGGAACGTTCCAGAACACAGGGGCAGACCCTGGAGGATTGAAAACAGGCCTCCGTTCTGTTCTGTTGCTTGGAAAGCTTTGACAACAAGTTGACCCTAGGTTAGATCCGAGCCAGGACCGGCAAGCCCAGCAGTCCTGACCCAGGGTGTGCCCCCCGTGGGTGGGGCCGGTTTGGGCTCTCTGCAGGGTGGTTCATCTGCTGCGCCCTACTGTGTGCTTCCCTGGGGAGGGCTGGGCGTGGGGACTAGGAGAGGCCCAGGGGAAGGAGGGCACCCCACCTCCAGTCCAGGAGGGGCCTGCTGGGGCCTGCCCTTCTCAGGCGGCCGAGTCAGCACCCCGGAAATCCCACGGAGGCGTGAGCACAGAAGAGGGACCTGCCTGGGGTAGGGCTGAGTTTAGGGACCCTGGTGAACAGGGAGCTGGAGGGTTGGTTCGCCAGGGGGGAGACTGTCTTCAGATCCTTGTAAGCACACAGCCGTGGATGGGGTGCCCCTACTGTGTGCATGGGAAGAATATGCCCAGTGGGCCCGCTGGGACCTTGTGAAGGGGCTCTGTAGTCGAGACCCCTCCTTCCCTCATCTAAGAGGCTGGGCTCTGAGTGGGGGTGTACCCTGGGGTGGGGCTAGCAGGTGGCCCTGTTCCTGGAGGGAGGGTGGAGGCCAGGTATCTGTGGAGCCAGCTTGGTTTCCAGGGACCATTCCATGGCTGTGTGCCCTTACCTGTGACACTAGCCCTCTCTAGGCATGCTTTTGCTTTTCTCTCAAATACGAGTAAGCTCTTGGCCTCACTCTTTCCAGGGAGGGATTCAGGTGAAATTGCAGGCCCAGGCCCAGGCCTCCAGAACCCCGGGAGCCTGTGGGAAGTTAGAGCTGGTCTGTTGCCCTACAGGTGCGGGAGGGAGGACATAGCAGGGCCCTTTCGCCCTATCGGGGACCCTCCTGGCACCCACCAGCAGGGCCATGATGGTCTTCTGGGGCAATGGTGGCCTCGATCCACCAGGACAGAGGCCCCTCCTTCCTTGAGGCTGAGACAGGGCGAGGCCCTCTGATCCGGTGCCCCATCTGCCCGCAGGCCTCTGCGGCCCTGGGCCAGACGGCAGATGGTGGCAGGGGGTGGCAGCCGCCAAAGGGGGCCTTGCCTTACATCCTCCCCACTTTCTGCAGCCACATCTGAGCCTCCCCCACTGCAGGCAGCGGGCAGCTGGTGCCTGGGCCCCAGGGGGGCTACCGATGGGGCTGAGGGCCGAGGCATCGTAGGAAGTCTGGTGCTCCCACCACCTCACAAAGACCTGGATGTCAGCTGCCACCCACACCCTGGGCTTCAGGGCGGCCTGGCCAGGGCCCACCAACCTCCTGAGCCCACTGGACCAGGACCAGATCAGCCACCTGTGTCCGCCTTAGGTCAAAGGGACTGGTCGGAATGAGACTGGATGGGAGGGTCCAGTGTCTGCCAGAGGCTGAAGGAGGCCCACTTCGGACCTCTCCTTGAGGACCCAGTCCAGGGGCCCTGAACACTGTGGCCAGCCCGCAGGAATGCTTACCATGCCGGGTGGCTTGGGGCAGCCAGGGGCTCCCCGGAGAGGGCGGAGGGGTGGGGACAGCAGCCAGAGGCTTGCACAAGCGGGGAGTGGGTGGATGAGTCAGAGCAAGGGGAAGACGGAAAAAAGGAGGGAGGGGAGCGAGGGCAGGACCAGCAGATAGGCCCTTGGGGCTTAGCCCTGCCAAAGGCCTCTGCCCATTTAACAGATGGGGAGACTGAGGCTCAGAGCACACCCTGCTGAGAGTGGGAGTGGGACTGCCAGGCAGAGTGCTCCTCTTAGAGGGAGCCAGCCAGTGGGGCTTAGGAGGTGCTCATCCTACAGAGTTGCAGTTTTGCTCTGACCTTGGGACAGGTCGTCTGGCCCCGCTTCACCCCCTTCTGCCAGATTTGAACCTGAGACCTTCAGGTCCCTGTTAGCAGGGGATGCTCAGTCCTGAGTGCCACAACGTACTGGGAAGAGCTATATATATGGGGTGATGCGAAGGTGAACAGTGGCCTGAATGGAAAGGAGGTGCAGGCCACGTCCACACTAGCTGTAAGGGGAAAAGGGACAAAACTAATGTGGGGAGACATACTGTGCACCTACTATGTGCTGCTGGCGCACTCGCTGCCATCTGGGGCCCTCTAGTGGCTGGGATGTGCTAGCGCTCTCACTGAGTCCCCACTGGGGGCTTGGCCCCAAGCTCAGCGAAAGGCCTCCACCCATTTTTGACAGATGGCCAGACGGGGGGCCTCCACATCTGGAAAGTGAGACTGGGGGAACTGGGACTAGGGGCGGGCTGGGGCAGTGGCCAAGGGCCCTGCCTGGTCCTGACCTGACCTGACCCTTTCCATCCTGCCTGGGCCTGACCTGACCCCCTCTTCTCCTTCCCGCCTGTGACAGGTCTCGGCGCGGAAGATGGCCGGCGGCGTGGACGGCCCCATCGGGATCCCGTTTCCCGACCACAGCAGCGACATCCTGAGCGGGCTGAACGAGCAGCGGACACAGGGCCTGCTGTGCGACGTGGTCATCCTGGTGGAGGGCCGCGAGTTCCCCACCCACCGCTCGGTGCTGGCCGCCTGCAGCCAGTACTTCAAGAAGTTGTTCACGTCGGGCGCTGTGGTGGACCAGCAGAACGTGTACGAGATCGACTTCGTCAGCGCCGAGGCGCTCACCGCCCTGGTGGACTTCGCCTACACGGCCACGCTGACGGTCAGCACAGCCAACGTGGGCGACATCCTCAGCGCTGCCCGCCTGCTCGAGATCCCCGCCGTCAGCCACGTCTGCGCCGACCTCCTGGACCGCCAGATCCTGGCCGCCGACGGCGACGCCGGCCAGCTGGACCTTGTAGATCAAATTGATCAGCGCAACCTCCTGCGTGCCAAGGAGTACCTCGAGTTCTTCCAGAGCAACCCCATCAACAGCCTGCCCCCCAACGCGGCCGCCGCCTTCCCCTGGTCGGCCTTCAGCGCCACCGACGATGACCTGGACGCCACCAAGGAGGCAGTGGCCGCAGTGGCGGCCGCCGTGGCCGCTGGCGACTGCAATGGCCTGGACTTCTACGGGCCTGGACCCCCGGGCGAGCGGCCCCCGGCAGGGGAGGGCGACGAGGGCGACAGCAACCCGGGTCTGTGGCCAGAGCGGGACGAGGACACTGCGGCCGCTGCCGCCGCGGCGGGAGGCCTGTTCCCTCCACCGGCTGCCACGCAGAACGGCCACTACGGCCGGGCCGCGGGGGAGGAGGAGGCAGCCTCGCTGTCCGAGGCGGCCCCCGAGCCAGGCGACTCTCCGGGCTTCCTGTCGGGAGCGGCCGAGGGCGAGGATGGGGATGGGCCAGATGTGGACGGGCTGGCGGCCAGCACACTGCTGCAGCAGATGATGTCATCGGTGGGCCGGGCAGGGGCAGCGGCGGCGGGGGCAGCGGACAGCGACGAGGAGTCGCGGGCGGAGGACAAGGGCGTCATGGACTACTACCTGAAGTACTTCAGCAGCGCCCATGACGGTGAAGTGTACCCAGCCTGGTCGCAGAAGGTGGAGAAGAAGATCAGGGCCAAGGCCTTCCAGAAGTGTCCCATCTGTGAGAAGGTCATCCAGGGAGCCGGCAAGCTCCCACGGCACATCCGGACCCACACTGGTGAGAAACCCTACGAGTGCAGCATCTGCAAGGTCCGCTTCACCAGGTGAGTGGCCTGCGCTCAGGAGGGGTGGGCCGGGCCATCGCCGGGCTCGAAGGGCTAGCTACGCCGCTGATTGGGTGGAAGGGCTGAGAGTGGGCGGGGCCAGAGGCGGGACTAAGTGGTGGGTGGAGCCATCGCCACTAGGTGCACTGACGATTGGGTGGGGAGGAGAGTCTGGCTGAGGGTGGGCGTGGCTAGAGGCGGGGCTCTGATGGTTAGGTGTCCAGGAGTCAGCACCGACTCACAGCCACCCCATGTAGGACAGAACCAAATACTGTTCTATCGCACATGAGCCTCACCCTCTTTGGCGCTGCCCACGCCCGTTGTGCAGCCACTCTGCCAGTCGAGCTCCTTGAGGGTTTTCCTTTCTCGCTGACCCTCTTTCCCAAGCGCAATGTTCTCCAGGTCCTGATCTCCCCTGACAACAAACCTGAAGTATGTGACACGCTCACTGCCCTCGCCCCCAGGGAACGCCCAGGGTGCATGCCTTCAAGACGGCTCGGTGGTTTTGGCTGGCCGTGGTGTGTCCAGAACCCTGCGCCACCACCACTGCACAGCCATAAATTTTCCATTGGTCTTCCTTGTTCAGATTTCACACATGTGTGAGGTGATTGAAAATACCATGGCTTGAGTTAGACACACTCTCCCACTCTCTTTTTTTTTTATTTTATTATTATTTTTGTGTGAGTGTACCGTCAAATCAGATCTGACTGGTACAGGAGGAGATTGTCCCTCCTTCCTCGGCAGAGCATCTGGTGGATTCGAACCGTGCGCCTCTGGGATTGTAGTTGCAGCTCCTTGCCACTAGGCCACCAAAGTTCCCCTCACACACTCTCCTTAAAGGTGACTTTTTTGCTTTTTAAAACGGTTGTTGTTGTTGTTATGTGCCGTCGAGTCGCCTGCAACTCATAGCGACCCTATGTACAACAGCCCTAAACTCTGCTCTGTCCTGTGCCAATCGCACTGTCTCTGACACTCCCATCCCAATTATCCCAATCACTGAATCAATCCACCTCATAGAGGGCCTTCCTCTCCTGCGCTGTCCCTCCACCCTCCCAAGCATGATGTCCCTCTCCAAGGACCAGTCTCTCCTCACAACATGTCCAAAGTATGTTAGACGGAGCCCTCAGAATCCTTGCCTCCAAGGAGCCACCCGGTTTAACCCTTTCCAGGACAAATCTGTTTGTTTTCCTAGCAGTCCATGGTATTCTCAATACTCTTCTCCAGCACCACAGCTCAAAGGCATCAATTCTCCTTCTATCCTCCTTGGTCATTGTCCAACACGCGAATGCACAACAGGTGATTGAGAAGACCATGGCCTGTATCAGACGCACCTTAGTCTCCAAAGAGACACCATTGCTCTTCAGCACTTTGGAGAGGTCCCTAACAGCAGACTTTCCCATGGCAATGCGCCATTTAATTTCCTGGCTGCTGGTGCCAAAACTGTTGACTGTGGAGCCAAGCAAACTAAAGCTGTGTACAATCTCAATCTCAAAACAAAATTTTAAAACTAGGAAGCAAAAAACTTAGGAAGCAGGAAGTGGGGGAAAGTCCTAGGATGGAGCCTGTGGTGGTGGGTGGAGCTTGTGGCTGAGTGGGTGTGGCCATAGGGCGAGGCTTGCAGCCGAGTGGGTGGGGCCAAGGGTGGCTTGGTTTCTAGGATCTGTGGCCCAGACGCCCAGTCACACCTGAACTCTTTCCTGAAATCTTCCCTTCTCTTCTTACGGGTGATGCCCTCTTGAGAATGTTCTAGACAGACTGGTACATTATGGTGGGGGGACCAGAAACAAAGCCAGGTGCCCATCCCCACTCAAGACATATCTTTGACCAGTAAAGGTTGGGATGTTACGGGCTGGTAACAGAAAGGTTACACAGCTGAGGTTGCAGTAAATCAGAGGTGACTCCACAGAAGTGGATTTCAGACCTGCCATGGCACCCTAATGCCATGGTGCGTGCCATGTTGCCCTGCTAACCACAGCGTGGGAGGTTCAAATCCACGCGTGTCCATGGGAGAAAGATGGGAGGCCTCCTTTTCTGATTTATAGACTTGAAACCCGATGGAGGGTGACTGAGTCGGGAACTGATTTCACTGCTATGGGTCTTTGTTCCCTAAGTTTCCACCCCAGAAACTTGTTTACTTCAGACATTTTTGAGAGCCAGCTGTGTGCTAGGCCTGTTGTAGGTTCTGGGGACAAAATAGGGACTTGATAGAGGTGACGTTCCAGAGCTTGGTCTGTTTGTGTACCATCCTTCAGCCAGGACAAGTTGGCAGAAGGTGCCAGGCGAGAAATGACACAGGCACACAGGCTGTGGGCGCTCACAGAGGCCACCCAGGGGGCAGTGGTTGAACTGAGACCTGTCAGGAGAAGGGGAGCCATGAGGAGATGTGGGAACAGACCTTCTGGAAGAAGGTATAACCTGTGCAAAGGCCCAGTGGCATAGTCAGCCGGGATCAGAGAGCCTCAGCCCTGGAAAAGAGCACTCTGGGTCAGGTGCAGTTCAAGGCCAGGCAAGGGCAGTGTGTAATTCAGTCTTCAGAGTTCAGAGGTGCCTGGCTGGGCCATGTGGACCCAGGGCGGGCCGGCCCAGTGGGGGCAGGGGGCTGGTGCGCAGGGCCTGGCCAGGCTGGGTGACTCAGCATCACCCTGCCCCCCTCCTGCGCTGGGGTTCCCCCGGCCACACCCACCAGGCTGAAGAAAGAGGCCATTGTCCCAGCTTCCCGGCCCCACCCCATGAGGACTAAAACTGGGGACTGACCCCCTCCCCAGTCCCCAAGGCAGGCCAGGAGAGACTGGACTCCCAGGCCTTGGACCACTGGGCGGGGTTGGAGAGTGCTAGCTAGCTAGGAGACAGCTCCTCAGGTAGCAGAATTGAAGTGATGGTGCTCTGGGGGGTCCTGGGAGCCCGCAAGGGGGCATAGGTGCCCTGCGAGGGGTGGTAGGCCCAGGCAGGTGCAAAGGTGGCTGGGTGGGCCAGAAGCCTGACTCCACCCCCTACCCCATAACAGTTTAGCGCTGAGGGAGTTAGTGCCTGGCCACGCCCTCTCTCCCACCCAGAGATGATCCTATTTGCTGGTCTGGGAAACTGAGGCCCAGAGAGGGGTGCCCACCCGGGCCTCTGCCCCCACCCACAATCTTGGCTTCTCTTGGTCCCCCACCTGGGGCCCCAGCCCTCGGGGGCCCCCTTAGTCACATCAGAGTGTTGAGTAAGCGGGGGCCGCACCAGCCTGGACTATAATTACCCTGCCGGGGCTCGGGGTGACGAAACTGGGCTGCTTCCGCCCCCAGACCGTCTCTGTGCTGCCCCCAGCCCGCTGTGCAGCTCTGTGCAAGTCACTTCTCCTCTCTGGGCCGCCCAGTGTCCAGTAGGCATCCTTCACTGGCTGGAGAAGACCTACTGGGGTCCGGGGCCTCTGCAGCCAGAAAGTGGAAGGACGTTCTAGCACTTGAGGGAGCTGAAGGCCCAGAGGCTGGTGACAGATGTGATAGGCCAGGAGATAAGGACTTCACTTCCTTGCCTGGGGCTGACGGTGCTGAGGGCAGGGCAGGGGCTGGACAGCGTCTCTATAGTCAGGCCCCGGAGCTTGGTCTTGAGGACTATTGAGAGCTGTGGATGGGTTAGTGTAAGCAGGGATGCGGGTTCTTGGAGTTGTTTTTCTCAGGGCTGTGCCTGAAGGAGAAACCTGGAGCTGGATGAGCCTAGTGACTTTGGAGTTTGGGAAAAGAAAGAAAGAGCATTGGAGGTGGGGCGTTGAAGGATGCATAGGGGTTTGTTAATGTGAACTTTGAAGAAACTCTCCGTCTTCTGGTTAGGTGGGCAGTGACAGAAGCCAAAGAGCTGATTAGATGCTGACCAGGACGGCAAAGACCCTGGTCGCCCTGGGATTCTAGGCAGGAGCCATCCTCATACATATGAACTGGTACTACGTGACAGAAATGCCATGCAGGCCACATAACCTAAGGTTTAACGTTCTGATGGCTGTGCTAATAAAACGGGTGAAAGTGATTGTAACCGTGTATGCTCTAAACCCCCATAGAGCCAGGTGATCCCCATCCTGGCGTGCAGTCAGTGTGCAGATTTATGAACGAGGTGTTGTCTTACCTGCTCACGGTAAGTGTTCAGGATCCCAAGTGCTTGTGCACTTCCGGTCACAGCTTTGGGCTCAGGAGCATAGGTGACCAGTGGCGGCCGTATTGGACAGCATAGCACCTGTGGGTGGGCAAGCTGGATGCAGCTAGGAGGGCCTCTGTGAGGAGGTGACATTGGAGCTGAAAAATGAGTTGTGAAAATCGAGGGGGGAAAGTGGTGTGTTCCAGGCAGCATTGACAGCTTGTGCCACAGCTTTTGTGCCAAAGTGAGTTTGTACCCGGCCAGTCGGGGGGACCACAAGGAAACACATTATGTGGAAGGTAGTAAGACAGAGGAGAGGGGACAGCTCGGGCTTACTACCTTGCCCTCCTGTCACCACTTGCCTAGGACTGTGGACTTTCCAGGGACTTTGAGGGCTAAAACTGGGCAAGTCGCAGGTAAACAGGGGCAGCTGGTCACTCTCTCTGTCCCCAAACCCCCTGCTTGCCCACTTCCAGGGCAGGGGCTGCTTGTCTTGTTCCATAAGTATTGGCAGCTCCAAGTGTGAATAGGGCCCCGTGTGTAAAGCACTTCTCGGTCCGTGCTGGAGTGAATGAACTCGCTGGCCAGGTGACCTCCTTTCCCATTTCCTGGTGGTGCAGTGGTTCCTCCAAGGGAGAAAGCAGTGACGGTCATCTCCCTGTGAAGATGACAGCTTTGTCCGCCCTGCGGGCCAGCTCTGCTCGCCCCTCAGGGTCCCTTGAGTCAGTGGGTTTGGTTTATCAGCAGGGTTGAGTCCCTGGTGGAACTCTGGCTGTGGCTGGGGACCTGTTACCATGTCCTTTCCTGAACAAGGATGCAAAGGGTTAAGCTCTCAGCTGTGAATGAAAGACTGGCTGGTGGTTCATATCCACCGAGAGTGCTGTGGAAGAAAGGCCTGGCTGTGTGCTTCCGACAGCTGAGCCCTGGGAAGCACACTGTTGCCCTGACTCACACAGGTTCCGTTGACTGGAAGTCAGTGGTGACCCATGAAAGTGGGGTTCAAGAGGGGTTCGGCTGTGTGAGCTGGTCCAAGGCTCACTTAAAATTTCCTTCATACCCTCGGTGCTGGGATTTTCCCGGCCTACCTCCTGGGAAACGCCTCAGTCTCCCTCCTCCCACCCTAAAGTAATCCTGAGTCCATGGATGACGCAGAGGGGTGATCACTGGACTACTGTCAGAAACGTTGGCAGTTCAAAGCTGCCCATAGGCACTTCTGAAGAGACCTGTAATTGGCTTCATAAAAACATCATCCCAGGGGAGCTCTGGTGGCCTGGTGGCAAGGAGCTGCAACTGCAGTCCCAGAGGCGCACGGTTCGAATCCACCAGATGCTCTGCCGGGGAAGGAGGGACAGTCTCCTCCTGTACCAGTCAGATCTGATTTGACGGTACTCACACAAAAATAATAAAATAAAATAAAAAAAAATCGCACACACAAATAGTAAAATAAAAAAAATCATCCGAGGAAACCCTGAGTAAGTGAGGGTCAGCCCTCCTCAGCCCACCCACCACAAGAGCAGGCCTTCCCAGAGCCAGGTCGGTCTTCCCAGCTGCGCCGGCAGGGTTTGAAACACCAGCCTCTTGGTTCATAGCCAAATGCTTACTGGCTGTACCTTTGGAAGGAACTGTTTCGCAGTCACCCCAAAGGGCAGCTTTTCGAATCTATCAGCTGCACCTTGGGAGAAAGATAGGCAGTCTCTTCCTGTGTGATTTACTGTCTCTGAAAACACTGGAGAAACTCAGTGGCACATAATAACAACAGCAACAGCAACCCTGAGGCAGAGGGGCCTTAGTGGTGCAGTGAGTTCAGCACTGGGCCGCCAGATGCAAGGTCTGTGCTTTGAATCCACCAGCTGCTCTGATAGCAGAGACGCCATGGGGCAGCGCCCCCAAAGGTTGCTATGTGTCTGAATGGTCTTCCCACAGGGAGTTTGACTTGGTTTTGAAGGAGTCTTGGTGGTGCAGTGGTTAAGCATTCAGCTCGGAGGGAGGAGCATGAGGCAGTCTGTGAGTCATCGTGAACTGGAATGGGCGTGACTGCGCTGGGTTTGGTTACTGGTCCCCAAGAATCCCCACTTGTGTGATTGCTTTGTATCTTGGTCTGCAGTTTGAACCCACCAGCCGGTCTGGGGGCGACCAGTAAGGCAGTCTCTTCCCCTAAAACCATATGGGGCAGACAGATCCACCTTGTTCTAGGGGGCTACTGACCACAAGGTTAGTGGTTCGAATCCTCAGGCTGCTCTTTGGCAGAAGCAATCGCCTCCCTTAAAGATTTACAAACCTATGGGTCGCACCTGCCGTGTCTTGTCCAGTTGTGGTGCGTGGGGACCAGTGCGATAGTGACTGTAATTTCCGGTCCCCAAGAAGCCCCCGTGTGTCGGCATTGCTAGCTAACCGGAAGGTCAGCGGTTCAAGTCCTCCACCACTGCCCCCGTAGAAGGCGGTGGAGAGGCCTTCGAGGGGTGGGGTGCTGGTCGGGGGTAGGGGGTGTTCTGTGCAGTGACCACCCTCCCGCCCGCGCAGGCAGGACAGGCTGAAGGTGCACATGCGGAAGCACACGGGGGAGAAGGCGGTGGGGTGCCGGTCCCGGGTGGGGTGCCGCTCCCCGGGTGGGGTTCCTCTCCCCTGGTGGGGTGCCGGTCCCCGGTGCGGACCCTGTGCAGTGACCGCTCTCCCGCCCGCTCAGGCAGGACAAGCTGAATGAAGGTGCATGTGCAGAAGCACACGGGGGAGAAGGCGGTGGAGGGGCCCTCGAAGGGTGGGGTGCCGGTCCCGGGTGGGGTTCCTCTCCCCTGGTGGGGTGCCAGTCCCCGGTGCGGACCCTGTGCAGTGACCGCCCTCTGGCCCGCGCAGGCAGGACAAGTTGAAGGTGCACATGCGGAAACACACGGTGGAGGGGCCCTCGAGGGGTGGGGTGCCGGTCCTGGGTGGAGTGCCGCTCCCCGGATGGGGTTCCTCTCCCCCGGCGGGGTGCCGGTCCCCGGTGTGGGCCCTGTGCAGTGACCGCCCTCCCGCCCGCGCAGGCAGGACAAGCTGAAGGTGCACATGCGGAAGCACACGGGGGAGAAGCCCTACCTGTGCCAGCAGTGCGGCGCCGCCTTCGCGCACAACTACGACCTGAAGAACCACATGCGCGTGCACACCGGCCTGCGCCCCTACCAGTGCGACAGCTGCTGCAAGACCTTCGTGCGCTCCGACCACCTCCACAGACACCTCAAGAAGGACGGCTGCAACGGGGTGCCCTCGCGCCGAGGCCGCAAGCCGCGCGCCCGCGGTGGGGGGCTGG